TGTAAAATTCAATCCCATGGAATATTTGTGGCACAAAGTAAAATTAAATGTGAGAGCAGAAAATGTTAATACTACTTTAAGTCCGAGTGTCATAAATCGAATTAAAAATGTAATTAATAATATACAAGCTGAGAGCTGGAAAAATGCAGCACAGCACATTTTAAAAAATGAAGATTCTTATAACATAACATAGAGCCCATTATAATTAATCTTAATGACGACGCTGAGCGTGAAACAGAATTATATTTTGAATAAAAACATACTTATTTAAGTAATTAAGTAATAAGTATTTTCTATTAGTATTAATGTGATCTTATTATACATAAATAAACATAGAATAATTTTTAATTTTTATGTTTTTTCCGTCAGAACCCCATACTTTGAGTGAAAGTATTTGTTAGAACCATATAGATGCCCTACATATTCCGATAATATAGAAATTTATGAAGTAAGTAACTATGAAAAAAAATTAGAGAATTTCAGTTCAACATCAGCATGCGCGGGATTTAAAACTTCACTTTTAACAATAACTTTGGATGCGGCATGTTTGCTGCAGTATTTTTTCAAAATATGCCTGGATCTCGTTAAAGGTTCTTGGAAAACGAGTTAAGTATATGGAAATCGCTTTTGGCGCAAATTACATTTTAGTGCATGAAATGTAGAGGCAAACGCAGAAAATCATTCCCTTCTCTACAAAAATATCAATGCCGCCTGCACAGCTTCAAATTTATCGTACCGTACTACTTTATTTAATAGCTGTATGGTGTAGCAAAATGTAAAAATACGCCCACTTGATTTGAGCTAAATTATAGCCGGGCGGGCTCATATTTGGCAAAATATAATAATTTTCTATATTGTTCGGTTTATAATATATAATTTTTTTAATTTTAATTGTCTCAATAATTTTCTTCTTTTATGCATTTGGTATAAAAGTTGAGTTAGCCGTTTCTTTTATTTGAGAGAAGATGTTATAGTGATTAAGAAGGACCGGACTCTTCAAGTGAAGTTACGGTCCGTGATAATCCCGTCACTAGAAGGAAAATAATTGAGAAAACACAGTATAGTGAGTACAGTGTGGAAGTTGTACGGGGTGTCCCGTTTATTATGGGATAACTTATCTCAGAATTTAATTTTCAATATGAATATTGAATGAAAAAAGTCATTAAAAGCCTTTTTTTTCAAATGGAAGTACCTTATTTTCATATTTTTGACATATAGAAAATGGTGACTTTCTATAAGGTTTTCTATTGTAGATTTCTAAATATTGGCAATAAAAGTTATTCCGTTGTAAAAATGTTAAATGGCTGTTAATTAACCAAGAAGATAACAGCGAAGTGGCACCAATTTACTGTCTTTCAAAAATTTTTTATAAATGTCATAAATTATGCCTAGTAATCAAGTTATTAAGACTAAAGTTTTTAAATTTGTTTAATGTCTAAAAATGTAAAACAAAAACCTACAGGAAACACCATTTCAAACGAATAATAAAAATTAAAAAAATTCAAAAATGTCATAAAAAATTATTATATTTTATAAACAATTCGTATTTTTATAAACAAAATAATAAATATTTTTTCTTTTTTAGAATGACGTTTCGTAGGCTTCAGTTATAAACTTTTATTTTCAAACAAACAATAAACTAAAATAGTGGTATATTTTTCGCCGTCTTTCGTCACCACAGCATTTTCACAATGGAAAATCGTTTTATTAATCATATTTCGAAAAATACAAGTTTTTCAAATGGTCAACTTTATTTTAAATGTGAAATATTATGAAAAAATTAGGTATTTTCATTAGAAAAAATTACTTTTCACTCTTTCATTTATTTTTTTTTAATTTTTGTATTTATTTGTCTTTAAAACATTAATTTCGGACATAAAATTAAAAATATGTTAGAAACTTAGGTATAAGAAATTATATATAAAATATTGCTAAGAATTAAGAGTGTATTTATGCAACAGGTGTAATAAACAGCATTTGGCATAATATGTAATATGTATAAATTATTCCAAACAACTTCTGTCTCTAAGCTTTTGTTGATATTTTTAACAGATTCTGAGAAGAAGAAGAAAAAAAGTAAATTCTCATGTAGGTTGAAACTTGTTTTTAATTATAAGAACTTTGTATACACCTAAGTTAGCTACCTAGTATACACTATATTAATCAATTAAAATATACACTGGATGTAGATGTACGTTTGTACTTTTTGTGATGTATTGTTGTTAAATATTGCAACTCGTGACAAAAACACTTTCTCCCTTTAAAGATCTTGCATTCTCGTGGGTTTTAAAAATGGTTCGTGTGATGGCTTGTTGTATGAACCATTTTTCACTTTTTTTTTATGTGAATAGACGTAGATACCTAGTGGCGCAACATTTTATTTCATTAACGAGTTCGCCACTGTCTTCATACGGCTGCCCGCTGGGTTCTAACAGCAATTATAAATAATGCGGTCGGTAGATGCCTGGTCCTAGTATACTTACCAAAACAACAACATCGGACACCCCGTAACTTCCATGTGCGTTTCTCTAAATAGAGAAGAAATTGTTTTTGTGTTAGTCTATGAAGTTTGCGTGTGCTGTGTCGCCTAAGGTATGCATATATACCTTCGGTATCGACGTGCTTTCCCAGATTAATAGGTAATTAAGGGAAGAGAAACACTCGTCGCCGCCTTACGTCACGGGCGCCCCCCTCTATATCCCCCAACTCGTTAATGCCGTCTTCGCGCGATCACGCGTCCCCATTCAATTTAAAATTAGAAATCCATTTGGTGAATTTGCATTCGCCAGGTTGCCGAACGTTACTGCCTCATAAATACCGTGGAGATACGGATCTCATTATCGGAATATATATCGCAGCGCAATTGTTAATAATTTTGCCGCCGCGCGGCAGACTAATGGAAATAATTAACGTCGAAACGAAAACATTTACGCTTGTGTGTATTGTTAATCGGCCGTTCCGGGTTTAAAATGGCCGACGACACGTGTTTTTAATAATTTTATATATGCAAAACAAACGGTAAACAAAACGGCGGGTATTTATTTTACCGAATTGGTTTTTAAAATAAATCGTTAATGCATTGTGCGCCGCGGGGCGGTCGCGGGAGGGACGAACGCTCCGGCGAAATGAATAATAATTAAATTCGACGTAAAAAACGGGGTTTTATTAATGAGTGACACGTGGGACATAAATCAGTTAGTTTGAAATTTCCCCGTTAGGGGGACACCCAAACGAATAATAATAAAATTCAATGCATAAATGGGAGTTGTATTAATCGCTCACACACGGCGACTCTCATTAATCTGTTTGTCATTGGTCCTGTGTCTCTAATTAATAACATTTTTAATATTATGTATTATTAATTTAAGACTTATATTTATACTATCATTGGCGAAGAAAGCACTCGTTGGAAGTTAATCAGATTTACAACCTTTTAGTATACTCCTCGTCCCATCAAAAATTTTAGACGGAATCATGTATAACCAACTATACGTTTAAATCACAATATTCTTCCCCTGCATCAAGCAAGATTCCGTTACGGCTACAGCACAGCATCAGCGCTATCTCGTGTAGTAGATTACATTGTCACTAACATGGATAGAATAAGATTATCTGCACTCGTTCTTATGGAACATTCTAAAGCTTTTAACACAATCTCGCAGAATCTCCTCTATTCTATGCTCAGTTATTGTGATTCCTCTTCACAGATTTTAAATCTGTCGAAATCCAACATTGATTGCCACGTCCAGGAAGTCAGGCGTAACAATGAGCTGTCTAACTTTATCCTGGTGACCTCCGGTATCCCACCAGGCTTTGGCCCGCATCTTTTCTCAATCCACACCTCAAAACTTGTCTCTAGTACAAGTCGTTATTCAAGTATACGCGGATGATCAACGTACGTACTACGGTAAAAATGTGTCACAGGCGCCATTGATATTTCAGCCACTAACCTGCACTTTACTCCATTTTCTTTCTAAACAGTGATTTCGTTTTCCTAGAACATTAGACCTAGGCATGTTTTTCGAAAATGTGGCTGTAAAAATGCGACATCCAAACTTATTGATGATCTGTCATTGGTTAATAAAGGGATTTCAAATCTCGCGCATGCGCATATTGAGTGGATCTTCTACAATTTTTTTTCATATGCTCTCTTCAGAATTTTATTATGTTATTTAAATCGTTAAAAAGCACTTTAATTTTATTTGGATCGGGCAGAATCTTACGAAATTAAAGAAATTTAATTAATATAGCTCCCCCAAAAAGATTGTTAAAGTCTTATTCTCTTTAACTGCTCTATGCTAGTAGGCAATTCCTTAACGGAAAATTGAAATAAAATCTCTGTGAATCATTAGTGTTGTCAAATTTTGTTTATTGTGATAAGAAAGAAAAAGAATTCATACTGTCCATTTATCTTTTCATTTCGCAAGCAGAGTCACCGGCGAGATCAAATCTTAGTATTTTTTTATTTAGTGTACTCAACTCAAAGCTGCAATGTTGCCTGCCTTTCAAAAAAATTTTAAACAGAAACTTAAAACATATTTCGTTTACGCAAAACTGAGTTTAGTTAAATATTTAGCTAGATATCAATTCTTGCAATTTCTTTCCGGAGGTTAAGTTAAGTTAAGCTAAACTTCGCCTTTTGGTCAATTTATTATAATCATTTGACGATGTATTTTTTTTAGCAATAAACACTGTTTGCTTTTTTTTGTTTATCTTTATCTTTTTTAATTCTTATTAATTGATTCTCTTTTATTTAAAATTTGGGTACAAGCTTAATTTGATTTTTATAAAATAAATTGCAATGAGAAATGAGAAATATGATAACCGTAGATTTCAATAAAGTGAACAGAACACATCGAGATCAGTGAAATAAGTTAATTTATACCGATCGATTGATTCAGAATGACCTCGATTCCAGTGCTAACTGCATTGTTTAGTGAGTTATGTAACACTGTAAATAATATGTAATAAAACTGAAACGGTTATCTTCCCGGTTTCAGCTCCGGAAAATCAGACAGTCGAGCTGGATTTTCGCGACGACTTTGAGATCGAGTACTCGGACGGCTGCAAAAATGACTATCTGCAGGTGCGCGATGGCCAGTATGGATTTAACAGCGTTTTGCTCCATTATTGCGGGGTCAAAGGATTCCCGCCGAAAGTGAGATCGTCGGACAGATACCTGTGGGTCTACTTCCGCTCGGACGAAAATATCGAGTACAAGGGATTCAGGGCTGTGTTCGACTTCATCCCGCGGTCAAACGGATGTAAGTAACAACAATTTGAATACGTATCTGAATATGAAGTATTACATTGAAGAACACTATATACGGCCCAAGTAACATTTTTTGTTTCATAACATTACATTTTGTTTTATATACTTTTATAAAACCTCTCATTAAGGTAACAGTGAGCAAAATTTAGTATCGTATAAATCTTTCAATTCTTATTTATTTGTAAGTAAGAGGTTAATTTCATAAATAAGTCTATAAAAAGTGGTAATAATAAATAAACAAAAATATTGCTATAAAACCGAGCACTTCACATTTTCTCATTTGTTTGCAATCGTATTTACTTTGAGGTTGACAGCAACATTGTTATGAACATGCCTGAATAAATAATATAACAATTCCTAAACTTATAGAATAATTTTATATTTTACCTTTCTTTAGATCGTAATGCCATTGTTTTAAGTCACCAAAAATATATTCGTAATCGTTATGAAAACTAAAAGTAACTGGAAAATCTACTGGACGCTATTAGTGCTCATAACCTCACTTTTTAGTTGTTTATTTGTTCTTGAAGGAAGTGCTTGTCTTTCTATAAATAAATACCTCTATAAAGTTTAAAATTAAACTAAACTTCCTTTTTAAAATTAAGCAAACGAAGGAAGTCGAGAAAACGGCACTATTTTTGATAGTCTTTCCAAGCGTATGCGACTCCAGGTTTCATAGTACAATACGGAGTAAGCTATTTACAGATAAAGTAACGGAAACGTTTTGAATGCAATAATATAAAACTTAATCTATCATAGTATTTATTGGTAGTCTTAAAAAATTTCTTATAAAACTGTAGAAACTGTTTTAAAACCTGAAGTTTGTTATAAGTATTCATTACGTTACAATAAAACCTTAAGCTGCGAAAAATGTTAGTTGGGAAACAATACATGATCATGTCATAGTTTTCTCAAAGACGACGAACTAAAATAAAAGTCTAATAGATCTATGGAGTAATAAGGAAGTTTCTATAGACAAGACCCAGTCATCGCGATAACAAAATTTTTCATTACCTTGAAAATTCAATTTTTTATGCAGTAACACTGTTTAGTTTTTAAAACGCTGCTTCGTCCTTTTTGCTTGAGGCAGAAATTATCTGACCAACCAAGGTAAGGAGATTGGAATTATAAAAGTTTTCTTCAAGTTTCACGTCAATTAAAAACTGATTCCAAGTTTTAGCCGTCAGTCTTAGTTAAATTATAATTTCGTTGGAAAGTTGTGTTCTTTTTTGGTAAAAGGCGCTACGCTGCTTTGCTGTTAATATTAGTCGATATTTGTTTATGTTAGATGGTAACCTAAAACGAGTCTGTCGAATGAAAACACCATATTTGTCTTGGTTCATTTTATTGCACGAGTTATAGTTATAAATTCTGTCTGAAATATGCTGATCGGCGAAAATACCGGCCACTAAAAAGTGGACTTAATTTCAAAGTTCCTTCCTCGTGAACCGCTCGTTTGATTTTGATAACTTTTTGAAAATTATAAATTGATTGCTCACCAACGATGTTATATCTGAATTTGAGCACCAATGAGACGAAGTTTTTTTCTGAAATTTGGAACAGCCTGCAGAATGCAACAAGGGTGGCAGCTGTTGTCAACTGAATTCATATTGAAGCATGCTCTTTTCTGAACTAGTTTTTGGTCACCACATTATCTCTGTTTTTATTGGAAATGCACTGTTCCATAGCCAACGCATCGGATTAAGCTATGAAAACACAACAAATAACATCAAACCATAAGATTAATTGCAAAACTAGAAAGGAAGGAAATATGTAAGAAGGGCATGTTGAGGCTAAGGCTAATATCTTGTGTGGCCTACCGGTGTCAAACTAACTTTATCAATAAGGTTTATACGTAACAAATTCTTGTTGATTGGCGTGAAATTCTTCAGAAAGTGCCATTCGCAGGTTATAAATGCTGTCGAGTCAGTTCAGTTATTAAATAAAATAAAGAATTTAGCGTCAAAAGAATAAGCTTGCAAGATTGCAAGAAAAATAATGCCAGCTCACATACTGCCAGACTAGTACAAAGAGATGTGGTGAATATTGAGACCTTGGACTGATCTTCACACAGTCCAGACCTTAACCCAATCGAACATTTATGTTTAGTGATATCAACCTCCACCTGCTTCCTTGAATGATGTGAAAGACATTATCTGAACTAATATCGATTAAGCCCAAATTAGACTTCTGGTTCAAAGTATGGCTGGTTGATCGGTTATAATACGTAGGGGAGTAAACGTCCGATATTGACTTTTTATTTTAATGTTTATGATTTTATTTCTTTTGTTTTGGTAATGAACTGTAAATGTTATATTTGACTTTAAATTATTTATTTCACTTAATAAGTGAGATAAAGAGTTGAATAAAAAACAAAATACTCAGAAACGTCGAGTATAATACTGGTTTTTCTGAAAATACTCTATATGTACTTAAAACATAAATTTAAATAAAAATGTTCATTGTAACATGGTTTCTGCAAAGTCTGCTGCTTCTAATTCCTTATGTAAAATATAAATGCTGCAATATGCGGAAATCTTATTCCCAATAACCACGCTCGCGGCTGGAAGCTAAGACATTGTCAAAGCTCAGCGCTGCACTGGTTGTGTTCAGGACGTAAGGCGATCACGTCTCGTCCTCAAATACGGTCGGGATTCACAGTCGGGCAAGCAATAGACGCAAAGGTTTTAGAGGCGTGAGGCGTTCACAAAGGCGTCTACCCTCGACTTCCTTTATGTGCAAGGATATTTCTCTCGCCAGGCACCTATCAGATTAATTCATAAATTTCACAAAATGTTTCCATGTCATACATGCTATATCACAATTTAGAAAGCGTCTCATTCGTCGTCTTGGCAGAAAAGTAATATTTATGAGTGCCTTGAAAAATAAAATCAAAATCTTTTAAAAAATTAAGAAACGGAAATATTTATTTTTGAGTTCAAGCCGAGTTCAGACGAGAAGCAGAACGACCCGACTTGAAAATGGCAAGTGAGATCTTGCCGAAACGTTGTCAGCAGATGACTACCTCCACTTGGAGCCAGCCAGACCAGACGCGGAGTAAAACCCGGAAGAATTTACAACTTTTGCGGGAAACATATAATGTATCATAAATACTAAACCTAATTAGAGTCAACTGTATTTATAGAACTCATTCCCAAATAATTGCTGAAAGCCATTTAAAATGTGACGTTGCATCAGTTCACACAAAAAAGTAATATTTCTTCAGCACTCTACCTGAACGTAGATGGAAGCAGCAGCTTTGACATATAGGCCAGTGAGTACAGTGTGGGTTGTTGTATATAAAGCAATATTAGAGAGAAAAAAAAAAAAAAAATATATATATATATATATATATATATATATATATATATATATATATATATATATATATATATATATATATATATATATATATATATATATATATATATATATATATATATATATATAATAATATTAATATATAATATTAAATAATATTATATTTCGTACAAAAACTCTGAAAAATGTAGTGAAAGTGTAGTGAAAGTTCAAAGTTAGTACCAGCGAGAGTAAAACTGACTTGAAATTTATTTTTAATAATATTTATGTTTAATAATTATAATGCATATGATACCTATTTTGTATATGGACCTGTACCTTGTTATATACCTAGTATTTTGATGTATTTGGTTTTTTACAAGGTGTTTGATTACAAATAACGACTAATAATGATGAATTAGACTAATTCAGAAATGGCAGATATGCATTTTATGTACGGACGCACGGACGTCAAAAGGGACATTCCTTAGTAATCATAGAACTCCTCATCACAGTGTGGCCAGGCTTTAAAGGCTGTGTGAATCTGGAAGTTTGGAAAAACGGAGTTTTTTTACCGTCCGACACCGCAAAGTTGAAACACCCGAATTAGAATTTGCTGTGGTAAATATTGAAGGGCAGCCAGAATTAAGTACAAGGAAAATTTCGGCAGAATTAAATATATGGAGGATTTTAAAAGAACAGTTATATCCATACCACGTACAGAGGGTTTAAGCTCTTTAACCAAGAAATTTGATGATTTTTTTTCCTTTGATTTCGCCGAATCAATACCGATTATACTTTTTTAGTTCAAAAATTCTCTTTGCAGACTTGTATGGGCTTAGGGTTCATAACATTCAATAACAGCATGTAGACATCAATCAATTAACAAATTAATTTAATCAATTATTAATTTATTTATTTTCGTTTCTTACAAGAAGCATCACGCCCTTTCCCTGATAATGTACCGAGACATGTATTACATGCTGATATTTGCCCCAACACATTTCAGCTTAAATGTGCGGTTTTTAAATCGGCCGAATCGATCCTCAGATTTAAATCCTTCGGATTATTGTATCTGGGGATCAGACTTAATAAGACATGGGATAAATAGGATAAACCTTATATCACAACACTTACTATAAAAATTGAATTGAATTGAATTGTTTTTTCTTAGGTGTCTCACTTGTTTTTTTATTTGTTTTGTTATTGTTTTAATTAAAAGTTTTTAAAGAACTTTAGGCATGAATAGATAAATTAGTTTCAGAAATGTTTATTAATAAATTCTTTTTAAAATGTAATTTCTTAGAAGAAAATTGATAAAATACTATTTGACAGCACTCAACTGAATTATGTTTCCAAAAATATTCTTGCAAGGTTAAATCTGCAATGTTTAAAGTGACTCCGAAATTGCGTAAAATGGCCAGTGTTGTGTGATCCTGACGAATACCGATCAGTGCCAACATGGTCTGGACACCCTGGGAACAGCAGAACACCTTGAAGTTCCCGCTAATGCCAAATACGTTGGGCGTTTGTATTCAGTCGCGGTTCGAATATTTATACAGTCCACTTTTCGTCGATGTACAGCCTTTTTCGGCAACATTTTTGGTTTTCGTATTTCTCAAAAAAATTGAATCGGCCATTTTTCGGTAAGCAAACGGCACGCATTTCTGTCGTCGCGAACTATTAACGACA